ATCATTAAGCAAATAGAAAAATATTCAGAACAAAAGATATATTAAACATAATTTACATCAAACATTTTTTTCTATGAACAACAGAAAACATCTGCATCCCTGTGTTTCTCTATTTATTCTATATGTCACTATCTTTTCTTTATCTTTGTTAGTCTCTCTCTCTATTGAAGGAAGATACATGAGTCCTAAGAAACTAGAATGTTGTGGCGTTCACACACTTTACCTCCATTTTCACCCCACCACTTCTCCGCTTGTTCTTCAGTGAATTGTTTCCGGCTGCGATGAAAGCAAAGTTTTTTAGCGAGTTTGAATGAGATGTGTAACATGGTATGTCATGTTGTTTGGCTTAAGTATATAATAGGGAGATAAGAAGCAGTCATATACCTGAATCTGACACGTTTGAGTTCATTACCACCACCAGGTAAAGACAACAATGTTAAATACACTCCTGGTTCGTCTTGCACAACTCTCTCTGGCTTCTCATTATGTTTCCTGTGCCCATTAGCTACGGTCCTACTTGTTAGGTTATTTTGACTATCATGAGAAACCATGCTTCTTATATGTGTCTGGCTACTAGTCTGAGTTAAAGTTTCTGATGTCTCGTTGTATGTGTGCTTTGAGTTGGTGCCAATACCATCCGTTTGAGATTGTTTTTCAACCATTTCCTTCAACTGCAAAAACCATAGTAACGTTATGGGTGATCGATATACAAAATAAACAAATGTAGTTGAGCTTGAGTCTAGTATAAACCAGTTTACAAACCTGAGTAGTCAGAGATCTAATAACCTCCTTTGCAGATCTGTTTTCCTCTGCTTCATCTGCTGCCATTGCAGTGACCACTTTTAACTGCTTTCTAGTTTTCTCGAGTTCCTCTTCAAGTTGGTGGGTTTTGGATGTGAGTTGTTCTACCTATAATGTTCAGTGAATAGAAACATTCTTTTAGGTCTAGAAGCATTTTCTTATGATGTGATCTATAGCTGAAATTAGATATGGTTAGAAACCACTACCTGTTCCTTTAGACCTGCCATTTCTTGACTAAAACTTTCTTTTATTTGTCTAGATTCCTCAGCTGCTACTTCATAAGATCGACGTGGACTAGTTGACTTTACTGAAACAGGAGACGCTGTGCGAGAGCTCATTCCTGAACCAGGAATTCTAACCTTAGGAATTTTTGGCAACGCTGTTGATCCTTTGCATAATGGGGAACCAACAGGCTGTAAACTGCCGTTCATGAAAGGGAAGACATTACGGTTATTTACTTCAGGTTTTAAGTTTCGTCTGTGGTGCCTTCTTTCACCGTAATGCAATAAAGAGTCAGCAGACGATATTCTGGAGTGAAATCTTTGAGCTAAGCTGTCTCTTTCTGAAACATCTGTCGATTTCCGCATGTTCAAAAGGTTTCTGACCCGTGAGGTTGGCGTAGAAGGAGATGATCCTCTAGACTTTTTCAGCTTGGTAAAACATCCGTAACACACTCGATATGGTTTGTTCATATCAGGAGCAAGAGCAGCTCTCAGAGACTTTCTACTGCTGCATACTTTACAAAATACCAGGCCACAGTTGTAACAGTTGTGGCGTTTTCTTCTAAAGGTGAAGGGATTGCGGCAACCAGCACATAGAGAATGTTCAGAGCCAGGTACCCATTTGTGAACACAAATCACAGCAGTAAAGTTTGAACCACATGTTATAGCCTTCACTTGCTTTTCTTTAAGAAATCCCACAACTGCAGGTTCCATTTTGTTCTCAACATTTCCATGGCCTAACTGGCCATTTAATCCCTTTCCCCAAGTGTAAATTTCTGATTTAGATGTCAAGGCTGCAACATGATAAGAACCACATGCAATCTCTTCCACATAAGCCTCTACTATGTCCCCTTCAACACGTGCTGGAAAGTTTCCCTTGGCAGTAGGATTTCCCAGCTGGCCATAAGCCGTGCTACCCATTGTATACACATGTCCTGTGGATGTAAGAGAAACCGTGAGACTATGTCCGCAGGCAACTTGGTAGATATTTTCATTCGTCAATGAGACTACACACTCGGGAAGTAGTTTTGGATCATTGTCACCATGACCAAGCTGGCCTTTCTCACCATCCCCCCATGTGAAGACTTGCCCGCATGAAGAGCCAACTTCTGCATTAGATGCTTCATTAGACACTTCTACCACTGCAGCTGTATGCCAAACGCCACAAGCAACCTTCATTACCACTAGTCCACTTAGGCTTTCAACTTCACGTGGAACACTTGTACTTCTCCGGTCTCCATGACCCAGAGCACCAAAAGATCCATCTCCAAACGTGAACAACTGGCCTGATGATGCAACTACTGCTGTATGCCAAGGACCACAAGCAACATACGATACATGCGTTCCCTGTAAAATACCAGTCACTCTCTTGGGAATCCAGCAGCTCGATTCATTCCCGTGCCCAAGCAAATCGACATTATGAGTGCCATCACCCCAACTGTAAAGATCTCCAGATTGAGTAACAGCACATGTATGGAAATCTCCACAAGCTAAAGATTTGAAACCAATTCCTCTGACACTACTAATGAACTTTGGTTGTTGGACGTCTTTTTCTATGCCGTGCCCTAGCTTTCCTCCTGCTCCCTCCCCCCAGCTGAAGATCTCTCCTTGTTTGGTAATTAAAACCGCATGACACCTACCACATGCAATGTTTTGGGCATCAAGAACTATTGTTGATTCTAATGCTTTTGGTAGAAGGGCATCTTCTGTCGTGGAGTTCAATGACTTTCCAGTACCGCTCAATACACCATCATATATAGCTTCACCCCAGACAAAAACATCACCTAAGGCATCAAAGTCTTCGTGATATGAACCATGGCTAGATGTGCTCACAGCGCTAGATAGACTGATCCGAACTGGGTCGCTGGTCGAGAACCGTGAATTTGAATTTTCAACAATTACCGGAGCTGGAGAAAATGGACAGAAGGGGTTGGCATTGGCTTCTGTCTGATTGTTACTGGCAGGTGCAGTTATTGATACAATGTCAGCAAACACTTTTCCCAACCGATTAGGTGCAGAAGTCTCAGTAGAGGGTTGAATAACTTGATCCTGGAGTAAGATGATGCAAAGTATAAGGTGTGTGTTCTTTTTTATATATTTAGTTCAATTTAAGGTGTTTGTTCAAATTCCTAAAGATGTTACTCACAAGAATTGTTACAAACGGAGACACTCTTCGTGCATGAGGGGTTGGACATTCCGCTGAAGTGATCTCAGGTTTAATAGTGTTTTTCCATTTGGAGACTTTTACACGAGTGATCAAGGCTTTCAAACCAACAACCCAAACTTCTGCTTCATCTTTGTCTTTACATATCTGCAACCCAAACCAACATTGTCAACAAGGTCAAGATGAATATGCATTCTTTAAATGCTGTTCTACAATTGGAATGGTATGGCTCATTAAAATGGCACGAAAACTCACCAAATCCAAAGACCTGTCGGGACATATAAGCGAAAATGACTGATACTCTTTCTCAGGGCGTGGATATCTCTTAAATGTAGCCTGAAACAAACTTTAGCCATTGAGTCTAAGATGAAAGTAAGAACAAGTGGAGGAAAGAAGCATGATAATATAAAAAGACGCCAATAGACATGAGACCATAAAAGTACCAATTGTCGAAACGGGGATAGAAACATATTTCAGACTCTAACTTATAATTAAGGAACTGTACTTGTTTGATAACTAGACAAGATAAATTGCAGAGAAAAACTCACCGTGCGTTGTCCAGGAACAATTCTCTGCACTTGATTCAGCTTAATCTGCTTCTCTTCTTTTCCAGAGTACCATACTAATGCAGACTCATCCTATATTCACATATAACATATATGAGCAAAACAAGAAGGAAACAGAGAGTTCTAAACATGGCCTCAAAGAAAATTCTTACACTTGTGAGCTGGAATGGACAAAACTTAGGCTTCCCTCTACGTCCATATTTCAGCAAGTACGACCCCTTCTTAAGAGACGTAATGGCCTGAAAAAAATCATTACACGATGGTAAAAAATACGCTACTTTATACCATACTCACATCAAAAGATCAATTTTTTAATGATCAGATCATTCAACAGAGAGCTGATAAAGAGTGAAAGTACACAGTACCTGTTCGACGTCTCTCTCAGAGAGAGTAATTCTCAAGGAATCAGCCATTGATGAAGCTGCTGCAATGAGCTAATACCCTTTGGAATCATAATTCTCATCAACCAAATCGTTTAACATCACACAAATCTCGTTCCAATCATTCTTAATCCTATCTAACCCATTCTAGTAGTTAGCTTCCCTCAAAAAAAAAAAAAAAAAAACAAAAATTTCAAAATTCCCAAACTCTCAAGTCCAAAATGTACATTAACCAAAACAACAAATCCACTCTTAAGAATCCTCCTCAAGAACAATTCAAATTACTCAACTTCGTCACCAACCCCTAGCTTTCACCAACCAGAATTTTCAAATCCTATTCTAGTATCGAGAGCCAAAATGCCACAGGCCACACCTCTGATTTCGATCCTAATAATCTGAAAACCTCGATACGTATAAATGCGAACCGGGTAATTTCCTCGCCGGACGTAGAAGCTGTACCGTCGTCGATCGCCGGCGATGAGGATGGAGCAAAAATATATTGAGAGGCTCTTCGTGATTTGAGAACCTACGCCTATGCTTCGCTCGCGTTATTCAAAAACCTTTTTAATTATTATTATTTTTTTTTTATATTACATCTTTTCCATAATTGTGCATTAAATTCACATAATAGTCATCTAGGCTCGGCCCAATTTGGTATAAGCCCAAATCGTTAGAATGTAATAATTGAATATTTCTAATCATTTTTCTTTTATAAAAGTACTACAGAACAGCGGCAGGACCGGACAGCACTGGTCCCTACGAATATTGACTTAAAGTTTTGCTTACACACACAAAAGGAGGAAATGTTATTTGTTTATTCCACTTTTAACAACTTCTAACAAGATCAAAATCGAAACAACGAACCAAAAATCTAGTAAAAATAGCGTTTGATTATTAAGAGAACATGTTACGAACTTGCTACTACATAGAGCTTATACATAATCCTGGCAACTTATAGAAAAAAAATTAACATAGCGACAGAGAGTATTATATAGTCACATAGCGAAGCTTATAAACTGAGAGTAGCTACACCAGTTTAAGATCATGACCGAGATCAAGACTCATGTAACATGGCGACTTCAGTACCTATAGTCATCATCAAAGATCATGTAATTATTGCTTCCTCTAGTACTCCTCCCTCTTTCATAACTATCCTTCTGCATCCACAAAACACACAACATTACATTAGCTAATGCTACTGCATATATATACATTGGTGTTTTATGTTAATGAGAGTGTGAACTTTTACTTACCCTAACGATCATTCGCTCGAAAGCCTCGGTACCGTGTTGTTCCATGTATTTCTCAGCAGCAGTGAGGATGTCATCGTCGTCACGTTTAGGGAAAAAATTGAATTTCTTGTGAGGAACATACCAAATCTTGGTGGTAGCTCTTTGAGGGTCTCTGTAGAAGGGTCTTACGAAATGTTTGTAAACATGTTCTGCTCCGTTAAACTGTGGTAGCACTAGCCAGCATATCCCAAACAGCTTCATGTATGGCCATATCGGAAACCTTACCAATAACAAAAACAAAAACTATAATTAGTACCTAACTATGATGAATCAATAAAGTTGAAAAATATGGTAGTAAGTGTTAGTGAATCACACTAACCACTCGAGAGGTTTGGAGAAAGTGAGTTCAAAGAGAGAGAGGAGAGCATAAAGAACCCAGTAAGTGAGCCATTGCTCGTCTTCTGGTAATGATCTTGTCTCTATTGCTTTCACTGATGCATATCTGTTTTATTTTATTACAAACATAAGTTAATTATTACAAACACACGAACTTATCTTGCAAAAATTATAATGCGTCGTGTCTTGGATTCTAAGTGGGTGTGTGTGGATATACGTGCATCTTAGTCAAGATTCATACTTTTTTTATTCCTTAATGACAGAGGATTAAAAAAAGATCAAAAGGTTTAGTTTTGATTCTTATTCCATAAAATTTTCCAATGTTCATCATATAAATCTAAACGAAAGATTCGCCTAAAAAAAGTGAGTTTTGCTAACACTAAAAATCTTTTAATTAGACCTATCAAACAGATTTAACACAAATCATACAAGAAAGAGAGAGGGGTTTTAAGTTTTCACTTACAGAGGGTAGACAAGAGTGACCAGTGGGCTGCAAAAGCAAGAACACAGTAAGTATCCACAAAACTTCATAAATTAGTACTAACCTTATAAAGGGTTTCATTTTCATAAACTGGGAACTAGATAAAACTATGACAATGTAGTTTAAAACAGTAGAAATAAAAACTAAAGAAACAAGATAGGATCTAATTAACACACACAAAACAAATCAAGATAGGATCTGTAAGGGAAATAAAGAAGTGACAAAGAGAGAGAGAGAAGTTTACAGAGCAAGGACATCAAAGTTCTTGATGAGAACTTGAAGAACATTATCATCTCCAGAATTTGAAGGCATTGTTACTCTCCACTCTCCAGTTTCTTCCAATTTCTTAAGCTTTTTTTTCTTTTTTTCTCTCTCTCTTTCTCTTACTGTAGAAGTAGAAACAAAACTTAAACAAAAGTGGAGGCCAGGTTTCACTTACAGAGAGACCTTCTTGGACTTTTACGCCCACTCGCTTCTTTTTTTCTTTTAATCTTTTTTACTTTTTGAAAATTTTGGGGTAAAAGAGGCACCGAAATTTACACTTGAATGTTACAATTTATGCAAATAGTAGTAACTTAATCATTTTCAGTGGTCCAATCTCCCAAGTCTGGTGTCTCTCTACTCTCTAGATTACTTAGGATACTTGACCATTTTGTCAGCTTAATCCAATCAATGGGGATTACAAAAGAATCTAAAAAACTGGGCCTTACAGGAGCCCGTTATTCTATAAACCCATATCAATTAATGGAGCTACTGGAGTTGTTTCCAAAATTCAAAATGGGCCTTACAGGAGCCCAGTATTCCATAAACCCCATATCAATTAATGGAGGTCGAGGTGTTATAAAATATTCAAACTGGGCCTGAACATATAAAGCATTATCTAATTTTAAATTATTTTATAATATCAATCACAGATGAAAAAAGATTGAAGAACCCACATAAAAACTTCTTTTTGGTATTCGAAATTTGTGTTTACAAAAAAAAAAAAAAAAAAAGTAAAGGTATTCGAAATTTGTGTCTTAAGTAATTGATAATGATATATGGTATTTTTGATGCCTTTACAGTATTCTTTTTATCATTGTTTTCTTCTATAAATATAGAAAAAATGATTAAAGTGAAGACTACGAATGATTGTATTAGTGAAGCGCCTGATTAAACAAAATAGAGAAGCAAGTGATGAAAATGATGATCATCTAATCTTTTCCAGATCAAAAAACACTCTTATATACGTGGTATGTGTATATTATAAACTACGTAGATGGTAGATCCATACATCTATATATTATAAAGTATACTTTAGAAACATTTTAATTCCTTTTGGACCTATTGAATAATGCCAGATTACTACTATACTTCTACTTGTGCCCTTTTCATATTCTTTTTATTATAAAATAAAACGCCGACATGAAAACAATGATCGGTCATGAGACTCATGACTCTCGTATCTTGTTGTTTAATCATCTTATATAAAGTAATACGTAAAACAATAATATTCAAATATCAAAGATGATTGCATTAGATCATCTGTGTAACTACTGTGTCTATTTATATATTTACTTCTATTTTTTTTTTTGTCACCGTGAAATGTAGTTTACTTTAGCTTAACCATTGATATATTATTGAGGTAATATACAAATAAATAAATTAAAGTCGCACATTCTTGTAAAAATGCTAGATACCATATGAATGGGATAATATAACCGACAGGCGTATGATGCCAAGGAATGGTTCACACAGATCAATAGAAGTTTTAACTATAATTTCATAATATACATATTGGTTTTATTTTAATATAGAAAGCAATAATTTGTCTCAATTAACAGAATATTAATTGTATCTATGATATGATGTGTGTGTATTATTTAAAAATTGTTAACGTCTCAATTCCCATGCTCGTTGTTATCTCTGATTTATATACAGCTTATTAGGTCTACTATATCCATTTGTTTCTCTATGTATACCTATGCATGGGAAGACCGTATGTACATAAATAGTAAAATAAAACTAATAATGTAGACCGACACAATATGCAGCGATATGGTTATTACGCATGTTACATGTGCTTATGTATTTTTCTGTATGGTGTAAATTTCCTGGCTAATTTAACATCTTCCATCAATGTATCCCACGTCCCACAATCGATTTTTCCATTCATCAAAAGATAAAGCTGGAAAATCTAACTATCAATAGTTTTTATAACTTGCTTATCACATATACGCATGCAGAGATACATAAATCTCCATTTTCAGCAGAGAGTTTAGTGTTCTTGGTGTTACTTTTGGCTGTCGGAAAATTCACAAAACTTTCACATATAAATACAGTTCCATAATAAATAGTTCCATCGATCCAGAGATTGTGAAATCGTGACTCTTCAAATATAATGTAACACGAAACCTAATAAGTTCTGACCATATATGGACCTATGAAAATATAGTTTTATAGTTCCACTTCTTAGCTTGTATCTTATACGTTACATCGCTCAGAAATAAAACTATACACAGAAACCATTCTCGCAAAATAAATGCCTTAAATATTATGCAACGGCTATGAATTGAATAAATTAAACGTATCCCAAACGATGATGCTGATAGAAAGACCTACTGGCATTAATATGGCATCTTATCTAGTATCTACAATATAATGCATATCCACTCTTCAAAACACTTAACTATAATTAATAACCAAACCAATAACATTTCAATGCTTAATTTGAACTATATGATTTTATTACTATACATGTCAACAAGATTTTATAGTATAGTTCCCATCAAACATATTGATAGACCATCCAAGATTTATCAGATCTCAAATATGGTTCATAAAGAGAAAATGATAGATGAAAAGAGATAGAACCAGGATAATTAAGCTTGCAATACATCACATCTACCTCTCCGAAACAATGTAGTCGAATTGAAGGAATTAAACAAATAATGAGGAGATTAATTGGAAGATAACTAATAATATTTTATTGATTAGCTAGTACTGAAATATACATATATAATTAAGACACATATAAAAAACTTGTTTCAAAAACCCTAATCAAGTCGTGTGTCTCATTATAAAACTCTCACACGAGAGAAAAACATTGGACAAGACAAATGTACTACTTAATGAGGCCAAAACCTCTAGGAAAAAAAAAAGTGCTTAATAGCAAAACCCACATACTAAGATATATCGATAATCACGTTCATGCTTACTTACTCAATACATTAATCAGAAGAATAAACAAGATGAAATCTGATAAGAGCTCTTAACATATAAGAAAAAAAAGAAAATATATGAAAAAAAGAAGCAATGCAAAAAAACACGCTTGTTAAGAACAAACAAACAAAACGAAAGGACGAAAAAAATAAAAATAAATCTCACAGAATATATATGTTTGTGTGTGTTTGCTTGCCTAGGAATGATGACTGGTGCTTCCATCTTCTTGATGGTTGTGATGATGATGATGATGATCTCCGTCGCGGTTTTGTTGGTTGTTGTTATGGTTTGCCGACTCAGCCACCGGCCGGTAAGCTGCATTCAACGCCGCTAAAACCCCATAATGGCTTTGTTCTCCACCGCCGCCACCTCCTCCATAACCGGAAGCCATAGGCTGTCCGGAAAACAAAGCAATGGGAGCTGCAAAATTCATAAGATGAACACCTCCACCTCCACCGCCGCCGCCACCACCACCGTTTGGGTTATAAACATCTCCCGGGACAACACCGGGATGAGGAGGATTGATATTAAAAGCCCATAGGTTCTGTGTGTTGTCGCCACTACTCCAAAACGGTGCCGTGGCAGGACTCTGGCTCGTAGGTAAAGATCCAGCAGTTGATTGTACTAGATAGTTCCCCATTTGGTTGTGATCTAAGAGCTGAGAAGAAGATGAAGAAGAAGAATGTGACTCGTTCTTGGGACGAACCTGTTGATGATGCTGAAGATGAGTCATGGACTGATGAGGAGAATGGAAGTAATAGCTACTAGGAGTTGTACGAAGATGAGCAGCAGAGAGAGAAGATCTTGAGCTACGAAGTGAAATGTTTAAAGAAGTGAAGTTAGCAGGGATGGTTCCAGTCCCTGTAGCGGCTATAACCGCCGGCTCAGCTTGCTGGAGTAGCCACTCGATGGTTTCACCGTCGGACTTGTGGCCAAGCTCACGAGTGAGCTGAAAGACACGAGCAGCGCACATGGCAGGCATACGGATCCGACGGCCTCGGCCTTCGACTTTGGTGTGTCGGTCCTTAGTAGAGGTTCGTTTAGGAGGAGGCTTCTTAGGCTCGGAGCTAGGTTCGGAAGAAGCAGGGATGATGGCTAAGGAAGTGGAAGAGGAGGAAGAAGAATCAAGAAGCTGGAGAGGGAAGTTGGGTCGATGATTCGGGTTATGGTCCGGATCCGGATCCATGATGATGATGATGATCGAAGCTTTGGTGGTGGGGAAGTGGGACTATACTACTGTCTCTGTTAGATCTTTATGTGAGCCATACTAGTCTCTCTCTCTATATATCTCTGTTTTTTTGCTGCTTCTTTTAGAGAGAGAGAAAGAGAGAGAGGTTATAATATGGTCCTTAAGGACATGAAACTCCTTTCAGATGGGAAGCTTAGCTGTGTGTCTATGTCTATGTCTGTGTGAGTGAGAGAGAAGAGAGAGAGATTAAAGCAATGAATATGAAAGCATGGACTTTTATTTTTTTATTTTATTTTTCTTCTTCTTGCTGCTTTATATCTTTTGTGTTTTTTATTTATGGAATTTTATTTACATTATAAACTATTCCCTTTGAGAATTTTTCGTCATTTTTGGAAATAAAAGAGATGGGCTACGTGGTTCTCCAATCTGTACAAAATATTCAAATATAAAGTTGTGTTTTATTTGTGTGTGTTTACGTACAGTGATCAAAATGAGTGAAAATAAATAAAACGGTGTTCGTATTTATTCTGTTTGATTAGTAAATAATACAAATTTACAACCCTATTCGATCGAACACTCTCTTTTTTCTTTTCATTCTTTGCAATAATTAAAAAAAAGAGTGACGTAAGTGTTTTTCGTCGTAACTGTTAACTTCAAGGGATCGGGGAAATTAATTTTGCACATTTAGCGAAAATTTCAGGGATTCAGACAGAACTCAGAAGTGTTGTTTTTTAATACATACGATATTTTTGTACATATGCGACAACAGAATAATAAATAAGATAGAATTATTATTGACAGTGATTAATCCTTGGCTCTATGGTAGTTCACGAGATCCACATGATATATTATAGAATCCAACTGCTTTTTTATAAAACAGATGGATTTTCTCTTCTTTCCTACTTGAATGATATTATTATTATCATATATATATATAGTGCTTTATAGATATATATAAAAGCAAAATTTGTAATGCTTCTCTTTTGTTTCCACCATTGGTGTTATCTCATTGACATACAATTGTCGTTAAAAGATGTAGCACTAAATTTAGAAAATTATTTTTGATACTCTGATGTGGACATAACATTTGATCTTTTTTTTTTCCTTTTAAACCAAAGTTTATATAAGTAGTGATGAAGAAGTTTCCTCTCTTATGTGATGATTATTCATATAAACACTATACTAGTATTTTTGTTGTACATTTATATAGCGTTTAGAGACTTCCTCTCTTTTATTAATTTTCAATACCAGTATACATAAATTATATAATAGATCATATGGTACTAGATACTCTAGATTAGGTTCTGCCTAATATGCACGTTTAAGAAATTTATTTTTATTTATCCTAAAAGTAAATTCATATCATTATGAAGGTTAGAGGTTATTACATAAATTAACCAGCATAAGCATGTGAGTATAATTTTTAAAATTATAGATTGGAAAGTTATATATTATTTGAAGATATTTTTGATCATTCTTTTTTATATATGGAGATCAACTGTAAATTTTTTTTAACTAAACGTAGTAATTTTGATCTTTAGAGACTCCCGATAATTATTATTCTATGAAATTATCTCAGGATATATGCATCGTTTAGAAATGTTTAAGCAAGGTTTTAATAGTGAGGTTGTTCAACTTTTTTAAATGCTATTTTGAAAGTTTTAGATTATGTTAGAAAAACTAATAAATGCAATTGGTATTTTATGTAGCGAATACACAATTTTCAACTTTGAATATGTACGTAAAGCTAAATAAATTGAAAAAAATACCTTCGAAAAAATAAATTGTAGAGTTGTAGAGATAAATACCGTCTCTTAGAGCAAAGGTGCAATTAGTTTTAATAAACTTTTTTACTTTAAATAAAACTTGATCTTATTGACCGACTTTATGATTATTTAGGCATATTGGATGAGTACAGTGGTCTAAATAACTCGATGAGTACTAAACCACATAGATTCAAAATTTGTTTTGCGTGCTCAGTGATGTGACCACGTCATCCGATGTAAGTCTTACTGCTTAAATGTTCTATAAAACACTTGCAGCAGTGCAATGCCTAATCTTAGTATCATGACCTGATTACTGGTTAGGTAAGTCTTTCCACTAAATAAAACAATAATGCGATTCTATAACTCCCAAAGTTTTTAAAATTTACCGTTTATAATATATATCTGATACTATATATATATATATATACATGTAATATTTTCTTTCTGTTTTACAAATTGTTCTCGACCGTAAAAACTTGTATAAAAAGAAAGAATCAAGACATAAAAAGAAAAGAACGAATAAGATAGCTGAAACGCGTTGTGCATATTTTGACATTGCAAATAATAAACATTACAATCTCAAAAATAAAGAGAATGAACAGAAGATTTTACGAAAGAAAAAATAAAGTAAGAGCCATGCCGACTAATTAATCACTCAATAATTGATTAGTTTCAGTCATTTTCTTCACTGGCATATATCTCTATTTATGTACATACGACTCCTTATTTCTCCTCTTCAAACAAGAATCAATCACACTAGCAGCCTCCTAAAAAAAGGTTTAGGACCACAAATTTTTACTAATGATCAATATCAATCTTAATCTAATATTTTTATCCAACAACTATACTTCTCTATCCCAACATCCTGGTTAATCCATGTTATTGACACTCCTATATATCTATTAAAATTCATAAATTTTGTTTGGTTAGGGACTATATATAATACTAAATTACAAATTAACATGTGGGGTGATATATAAATATTGGAAAGAGAACAATAGGAGTGTCGTGGGACATAACATAGATGATCAAGGGTTTCAGTTATATTTATACATCAATCTATCTGTCTAAATATACATTTTAAGGTTGTAAAAATACAAAATTTGACAAATTATTAATAAAAAAAAAAAGAAGAAGAAAATGAGGAAATAATAATAAGAGAGAGAGAGATAGATGGAGAGAGTGGGAGGAAAGAGAGAGAGAGAGAGAGTCCACCACGTGCGTGTCCTCTGCATCATTCACTCTCTAAAGACAGCGACCATAGCCTCATCCCTCCCCCTTTCTGGACCCCTCTTCTAGTCAAGTCAATATTTATTTTATTTCCCTTAATTTATATTTCTTCTTTTTCTTATCTTTTCATTTTTTTTAATTGAATCTCCAATTTTACCATCAATCACGAACCCTATTTCAAACATTACTGCGTGTAACACATATCATTTTTGTTTTTAACTGTTTTATCTTATATTATATGTTTTTAATGAAAAAAGAGATCATCTTAACTATTTTACAGAAACTTCCTCAACATTCTTTTATAATTTATCTGAAAAAATGAAAACGAAAGCCAGTTTAAAAATAAAACGTATATTTGAATCGTATATTTCATTTGTTTAAAATAAATCAAAATTTCATCAATATCAAAATAAAAAATATCATTCCATGCGATTTTTTTGTAAAGTTATATAAGTGATTTAAGTCTCGAATATGGATTACAAGTAAAATAATAATAAATTTTTAGATGAGAAAAAAAGTTTGAACCGAAATCAAATCAAAATATGTAATGAATATCCTTACATTATAGTATTGAATACACTATGTTTTACTTTGCATTATTTTCCAACTCATCTCATTAATTTATGTAAGAAGAAAGTATACACACTTGAGTAGAGTATATATGTAACAAAATAGAGAAAGAATATTGGAAATTAATGGGAAACAAATTATAAAAAGAAAGAGGAAAACAAATAATAATAAAAAGAAAGGAAAAAATAAAAAGTGGGCTCCCATCCACATTCACCAGTCACCAGCAATGATTGCCTCACTGCCTTTGCAGCTCCACTTCTCCTTCTTTCCTCTTTCTTTATTTTATCCACCTCACTTTTAGATTTCCTTCATATTTGCCCCGTTTACTTTATATTCTTCTAATTTAACCCCTCCTAAATTTATTGTATCATACAATTTGTATCTATATCAATACTCTTTCGACCCATACTCTCTTATTGCTTATTCCCTATTTCTTTCCTGCCTTATTTATATATCATTATAAATAAAATAGAATATGTGCACTTAACTAATAGTTTATATTTGGAGTATATATTCGTAAAAATAATGTGGTAATAAAAATCGTGAGAAGTTGGATATACCTATATATATATATATGCTGATTTCAGATGTTAATTATTTAATACAAACATTGTAAAATTAATTAAAGCGTATTTAAACAGTAGCCTACTATTTCAATCGGTGAAGCTATTTTGTATATATCTATATCATATGTTGACAAAATATAATATATGTTACAATTTTTTTAACCACGTCATTTTGTAAAAAAATCTCTAACAAACACTATATAGTTAGTTAATTAGTCAAAATATAATTATAACTTAGAAAAAAGAAGCAATTTTCATTAGAACAATCACGATCGGTCAATTTCCATTCTATTAATAATAAAAAACTATATATTCTAAGGCATATTAAAAACAGTCTATCCATAAGATTAAACCAAGTTTCAGTTTTATACTTTGTTAGAAAATAAATATACAACTTATTCTAGATCATAACACTCGTGATCGATATCATTTCACCAAAGATTAGTGATTAATACGCTATATGTTTTGTTGTTTTTTTGGTGGGATTAATTAATCCACGTCAGACTAAAGTTCAAACCCTCTTCTCTTGTCTTCTTCTTCTTCTTCTATAGCGTCTGCGTTTGTATGTCTGTTAACCAGATTTATTAGTGATTTATATATATGTAATATAATTGTTATATATGTTTCGTTTGTTATGTGTCTCGTCTCGTTGGTACAGACAGGTTAACATGAACATAATTATATATGCACGTTTTAGATTACGAGAGCCATTTACACTTTTTTGATTTTGATATGATGGTTATCATAAACAAAGATAAATAATTCACATTATATATACATAGAGAGAGAGAAAGAGAGTGAAAGAGAGAGCATTGAAAGCCATGTACTGTCCATGTTGGATAGAGAGGTAATGGAACATCGGCATGTATAACCCATGTGACAATAGTCCCTATATACAACTTATAAGCAAACACAGTTCGGTCGAGAAATATCTAAACAAAGTTAGTTCAATCGATTGAAACCAAGTTCAAGTCCGATGTCATAGTTAAAAATGGATGTCATCGTTGATATATCAAATACTAGTTCCAAACAAGTTTGGACGAGGTTCTTCAGTGAGTCTGATTGGTTAAGACTCTCTCATCTT